GTATAATGTAAGCTATACGAGCTCTTTTGAAAAAAAAAAGATAAGGATAAAGGATAAAGCATTTGCCGTTGATCAATCCCTTTTTGGGATGCGGCACGCATTCTACTTCCATTTGTACATTCGTAGTGGCGTTTGAATGCGATGTGGCCTATACAATGACTTGCGGGGCCAGCCGATGTACAAGTCAGTGTTTTTATCCTCCCAGACAAGTCTGGTACCAATTAACCGACCCCGGAGGGATGGAAGGCTTGGTTGGCCCGGGCGACTCACGACCCAGGATTTGATCCCCGGACCGCTCGCGTGGTAAGCGTGCCACTTGCCACTACACCACTTCCGCCCCCAAAAAAATAGAAAGCTAAAAAATTCAGATAGTCATATGAAAATAAAGGATGTATAAAGTTGGCTATAAAATGACAATATAATACTTTGTATTCTTATGGCTGAATAGGTGGTTTGTTTTCTGAATTAGGCGACTCAATTGCAATATGAAGGTAAAATGACCCTGTTTCAAAGAAATCCAGAACACCTTATGGATTTCGGAAGACTTTTACAGCTAAGCCTTCTCCAATTTTCTATAGCGTCGCTCTCATCGACACGGCGCTCAAATTAATAAAGGTCGTTACCGTATCGGAAAGGAAAAACTACTCATTAGACTCGATTATTCATTACATATAGACTTTATTACAAAGTTACTCTAAAGCTTAAATCTTCAAAGCTTGAGGAAACAAACTAATTGATGTCCACAACAGTCAGCCGTGGTGCCATCCCTGGCCAAGTACAAATTATATCGTTTTATCTGCTGAAATATCTACTCTAATCAAAGCTTCTTATTGATTTAGTCCTCAATCTCAAGAATATCAACAACGTGAGGACGAGCAGAGAAGGGCCGAGTATGAACGCCAGAGAGCTTTCTATTACTCGAACCAAGCCGCACCTGCAGGCTCACAACAAGAAGAGTGAGCATTTCAATTGAATAATGTCTTCCACTACTTTAAGCATCGTACAACCACATGTTGTGCGCTCAAAACCCTTTCTTAGGTTCAGGTGGTAGCCCAGGTGGCCGATCCACCGAAAATACACCGAGCTAAATTTCGACTCACTCTAGCTAGCATGGCCCTTCTGTTCGTTTAAATGAGCTTTGAGCAGTTGGAACCTTGCTGGCTTCAAAATCACTGACTCCATCTTCTTAATACTTTTCTTAAAGGCGGCTTTACGGCGAAAAGGCAGCCCATAGGAAATTAAGCTAGAGATGGTCAGTGATACACGAAAGAAGAAAGAAAAACAAGAAAATCGCTCAGATCAGGAGAATTGGGACCCCTTTGTTGCCCTGCGTTGGGATTTTCGCGATTGACACGAATTTTATATTGGTGCTGGCCGCCTTCGCGGTACCGGCCCTCCGCGAAACGGTGCCAAGAACCAGAGCACGCCGCCACAGAGGGGGGGGGGGGGAAGGTGACCTGGGCCCCATAGTGCGCTCGATTGGGGCGAGGAAGGCCTGTCATAGATCGAACGGAGCAATATGTATGTCTTTCGATGGGCGCCGCTGCCCTTGTCCGCCTCTTCTGAATCTGGGTAAGTTCCCCCTTTCCTCAACGTTCCTTATCTTATCTCGTGGAATCCTCTCCTTCGAATACGTAGATTCGCTGACCGGACTGCAAATTGTGCCAAAAACGAAAGAACGTGAATCATCCGAAAACAAAAACCTGAAATGAAAAAATTTGCTAAATAAGTGAATAAATGTATAAACACACGCAAGTCTTCGCCCAGTGCCCTTTATTGGTGAAATGGAAACGAAGAGATAGATGGTTCTCATCTGGTTATTATTCTGGTAGCTGCCTGATGTGCAGCTTCAAAAACGTGTGGAAACAATCTGAGTGGTATATCCAAACCAGATGACAGCGGTGCCATCTCTGGCTACTTAAAGAGATATCGCCTTATCTGTTGAAATATCTGCTCTAACCAAAGCTTCTTCATTGATTTAGCCCTCAATCTCAAGAATATCAACAACGCGTAGCCGAGCAGAGAAGGGCCGAGTATGAACGCCAGAATGCTTTCGATTACGGCCAAATGACACCACCACGCTCACCGCAAGACGAGTGAGCGTTTCGATTGAATATTTCTAACAACAAAAATCTGAACCAATGAAAAAAAACATACTGAAGGAAAATCTAATTGCTGCCCACTTCATAAATGCGTTCACTGCCCGTCAAACTTCGAGGGTATGGAGCTCAAAAAAATTTGAAAATATTATTTTGGAGCTCAAATATGCTCCAATTCCACTTGTCTTCTGCGCGAACTGTGTCTAGCACGGGCTATATATTTATCTTATTTGTTTTGGTATTAATTATTTACTTACAAATATTGTTACAGAAAAAACAAATAATACATGTCTGAGCAAACAAACAATTTCACAATAGGTAACATTAAATGCGAAAAATTAATAAAGTGAGCTTTAATGGAAAAACTTTACAATAATTAAGTAAAATTGATAAAACGAAATGCTTACTTGGGGGAGGCGGGTACAGGGAAGGGGGATATGCCCGAACTGAGGAGAGGAAGGGCAATGGCCGGAGAGTAAGGCTTCAGGTACCAGCTCAGAAAGTCCGGCTATTTCTCCAGAAGGCATGTAGGGGTGAGGCTGGGCTTAGGCACAGGGGAAGAGTTAGATTTATGTGTAGATTAGAGTTACCTAGCAAGCAAGAGCAGAAGTGAAGTGCATAAAGCATTAATATAAGATGCTGCTAGGGCTAATATGGCAAGTAAGCGATTATGCGATTAAGAGAATAGAAGAATGACATTCATGTATTGACTAGGCGAACGGGTAGTGAATAGGAGAATGAGCGTATAGGCGAAATAGCGGACTGGTCAGCGTCATCGTGACTGCGAAACGCTTGGAGGGCGGAGAGTGCAAAACCCTTTCTTGTGCTAGCCTATACGCCTACTCACCTCCTCCTCTTCGCCCAGTTGAGGTCAAGCATTAAGCTTTCAATTTTGCCGATTTCAATTTTCAATTTTAATTTCGAATATCAAATAATAATTCAATTTCAATTTTTTCTATTTTCTCAGCGACTACGAGAGCAGAAGGAGAGCCCATCACGAAAACTATCTGAAACAGCTGGAAGAAAGAAGGGTGAGATCGTTTCTATAAGCAAGATTCAGCTCTCTAAAAGGAAATGTTTAGTTGGAAGCGGCGCGTCGTAGAGCTGAAGAGGAAAGAAGACGAGCTGAGCATCTCGCTGGACATGGTAGAGCCGAAGAAGAGAGGAGGAGAGCGGAACACATCGCTGAGCATGGTATTTCAAATTCATACATCATTGTCTAGATCCATCAGGTCTGAGGAGCTCACCTCAAAGCAATAACCCCAGATGAGATTGTGTGAAAAATCTATTCTGTGGGTCTGTGGGTGCTAGGCCCTAACGCCTTTATTGCGCGGTTTGAGTCGCGACAACGACGCTTTTGTCATACTCGTGACTAATCCTATCCGGGT